GGTTTTAGTAAAAAGTAGCTCTGCAGGATTTGTCCACGAACACCTCACAACAAACGATTGAATTTCAGACATGATTAATTTTCTACCGACCTTACGATTCCTCATCGGGAGGCGGTCGTGAGACCCTTGTTACCTCTTGTACACTACACGACGAAGGACGTGTAGTGTACAGATCATGCCATGAAATTCGGCATGATCAAAAAAATTCCCGCACAATTGAAGAATCGGACAGAAAAGGGCAAAAAAATCGAATAGTGTGTGCTTTTCCCAGGGCTAATAAATGAACAAATGTTTCAGTGGCCTGACATTTCTGTTTAAAATATCCCTTTGTATGGAACTGAATGATTCTTCCTTGGACAATTATTTAGTCATCACTCTTCCAAACAATTGATAGGCCCTAACATGGCCTTTAGAAATGAAAAGAAATATGTTTTTATTGATCTTATGAGAAGAAGCATGTGGCCTCAATACTACATTATTATATTTCATTTTAGATGAACTTATATAAGTGGTCTATGGATATAGGTATCCGTGTGTGAATGGTTGTACATATCTGTGTGTGGTTTTCTGAATGAGACTACAGTGTAAAAGGGCTTCATAAGCTCATCTCATAATCATGTAAAAATGGCTGTACTTACCTATGACAGACACACAGCCCAGAGGGGCTATAAGTGATGCCGGGGCAAAGCCATAGGCTGCAAAATTCCCCAGTTCCCCAACACCCATAAGGACCACACCACACCACCACATGGCAGACATGTAATAAGGCTTGGAGCCGCGCTGAGCCTGACGCACATGAGCGTATTTCTGTCACAAAGAAAAGGGAGAAAGGAGTAGTTTTACACCTCACACGGGCTTAAAAAGAATATAAAATTAAATAAACAATAAAAAACAGATCTATTGTAATGTGACTTGATAAACCATAACACCGTCTGCTGATTAGAATCATAATCAGACAGAAGCATGACACCAATTAGGCGAGTCAATGGAGAGGAGAGGACTTTTTACAGGTCTAAGAGCAGAAATATACAGAACACTTAGTCATTATTAATGAATCTGTTTTTTCTGACTAATTATGACAAATTACCCGACTTTTTCAAGCACTGTGATCTCCCCTAGCCCTCCCTCCAATTGCCATAAACATTACACTGTCTGCAAATCAGCCTAGTTTCTTGACTAATTAGAGTCTGATTTAGCAGTCAGAGTATCATACAGGTATAATCCAAGATACAAATACGGGGAAAAGTAACTGTGCATGAAATGAGTAATGCTCTCAGACCACAGTCTGCAGAATTCGTCAGCATGATAGCTTAATGGTGTGTGTTTGACTTATAATTATTAACTTACGTAAGAAGTTTAGAACAGTTAAGGAAAGAATAAAAACATTTGAAATAGTGCAGATGGGCAGGTATGGAGCTAAAACAGCTCGTTCAAGAAAATGTTTTAACTTAAAAAAGTTTCTTAAAAAACGTTAAAAAAATTTTCAACAACTGAAAAATATTTTAAAACTAAAACCAATTTTTGAAAATGAGAAAGATATATAAAACCGAAAATAGATGTTTAAAACTACTCAGATTTAAGTGCTGTTTTCTTCCTTTTTTTACTTTTTTAAGTTTTGAAAAATATTTTTCTGTTTTAAAGTTTTATAATGTATCCTTTAAAATGTTTTTTTCAATTCAATCATTTTTTAGTTTCAAATATTTTTTTTTTAAGTGTAATAACATGTTTTTAAATAAACCTTGTGGCTTTAATTTCGCTCCATAGGAATCAGAGGTGAGGTAGTTATTTTATAAACATGGGCTGTAAATCGATGTATAATCAGCAAAAGTATGTTAGTTGAATTGTAAAATCAATATTAAGAAAAGTTATTAGAAATCAAATAAGACAAATCAAAAACAACCCTGCAGTTCTGGCATGCAGTGATTCTGCAGCTCTGAGCCCGTTGAGAGGGTTCAGTCAGTGCCTCAGGGAAAGGTTTACAGAAATCTACAGGAACACAGAGCAAACTATAACTGGAAAAAGCCGGTCAAGCAAGATTAAACCCAGCTTTGAGAGGCGTTGCATGCTTCCCGAGTGTCTGCTGCCTTCCAGTCGTCCTTACCTGTATGTTGAGGGAAATGCTGATGAGGACATTCCCACATATGGAGATGATGATTCCCAGGAGATAGTTCTGTGCAAACAGTAAACAGGCAGAAGATTAGGTGATGCTCTACTTGCCAAACAACAACTCCAAACACCCCATAATACTACATGCAAGTCTTATCTCCAGCTGTCGCTTCTGTCACGTCCATGACAACCAGAGAGCATCTTTTTGTTCTCATGCATTAGTGTGCAGCCTCCTGTAGAGCCAAGGCTTATGAGATTTAATAATACCGAAATCCTTATTCCCAAACACACACAAGCCCGTGTGCATCAAGAAGCATTGAACACACAAACATTCCTTACCTTCAAAGTTCTCCCAGGATATCTGACACCTTTGACACAGTCATTGCATATTTGTGATACACCAACATCTTTAGCAATAACACTGATTCAGGCTTTTTAGGTAAAACATTTGCTCACATGGGGAAGAGGTCTATGTTTATATACAACATGTTTATAGAGAAAACAAAAAGCTCAGAAGAGTGAAAGGAACACTTTGAAAACACGACCCATTTCAAATGAAAAATACAATTATGTTAGATATCCATGCTGATATAGGGTGCGTAATGTGTTAGGACCAAAAGGATGAAGCATGATTTGATGAAGGTTAAAACCATCAACTCATAGAGGGCTTAATAATAGAAGCACAACTGGAAAAGTGAGGCAGCAGGCTAGTCCAATTTGCTGAAATGTCATTGCAGTAATTCAGTAGTTTGTATGCCCCTCGCATTCTGGAATGCATGCCTGACAACGTCGAGCCATCCTCCTTATGAGATGACAGACAGTTTCCTGGTGGTGTCTCTTCCGAGATCCTGACAAGGGCATCACTGAGCTCTTAGAGAGTCTACGATGCAACCTGTAAGCATCAGAAATTATGTCCAAGAGGTGTTCGATTGGATTTAGCGGCGAGCAGTAAAGGCCAGTCATTTCAATTCCTTCATTGTCCAACATGTATTCTTACCACCTCAGCCCCGACATTATCAATTCAATTCAATTCAGTTTATTTGTATAGCGCCAATTCACAACAAATGTCCCTACAAGGCAACCAGATCCAACAGTCAAATTGATTGAAACTTTTCTAAGGAAAACCAGTTGATTGCATCGACTCATTTCCTCGAAGACAATCCATCACACCAAGCATGCTTGTAGCGACAAAGGAGAGAAAAACCCTCCGGCAGAACCAGGCTCAGTGTGAGCGGCCATCTGCAGAGGCCCACTGGGGTTCAAGGAGACAGAAGCAGAGATAGAAAAAGAAGCAGGAATACAAAAGGCAACCGCAGCTCCACAGGCGGGCCCCGTCCAGGAAACACACAGCCAGGCAGATAAGCTCTGAGCCAGCCCCCACGTCAGAGGATGAAAGAGAGCACGACATCTATCAAGCACTAGGAGGAATCAAGGACCCATTGCAGTAGCAAGGCGGACGTTTAAGATGAGAGGGTTGGGAGAAGTAAAACCCCATGATAAGGACCTTTGTACGAAGAATTGTAGGCCTCTTGTGGCAGTCAGGGTGCCAATGGTCTGAGTATCAATGCCCAACACTGACCCACCACCATGTAGATCATGCTGGACAGTGTCGTAGTCAGTATAACATTGCAATCAGCTTTGACAGGCCCATCACGTCTGTTTCATAAGCTCAAAGTGAACCTTCTCTCATCTGTGAAAATGACACGACTTGAGACGTTCCCTCTGTTACCTTATCACACAAAGGAAAATACAAAATATAGCTAAAGGGTCAGGAATCTCAGGTGGCCTTGTCCAGCTCTCCTACGGTAGCTGCCTGTTTTCTGGAATCTCCTTCAAGCTCTTTAGACTTTGCTTGAAGGCACAGCAAACATTCTAGTAAGGAGAATGTGCCTTGATGTGCCTTTGTAGTTTCATGCTTTTTGCTACCAGTAGTGATACCAATCTTTGTCAAATGCAAAAGTACAGAAAATCTGTTAAAACAAATGGGAAACAAAAAATCTAAACCTCCTGCGATGTATAAAATAAGTTTTTTACGGTCATAAAAGTACTCCTGGCTGCAGGAGCAAAAACATTTTAAAGGAATAAAGAGTCCAAACAACTTGTGGGTGGAATATAAACAATGGGAGCTAAATATATAAACCCAATAGTGGTAGAAGCAGACCCAGCAAAACAGCAACATCTGTTTAAATAAGCACTATGAGGGCAATGAAGGAAAAAGATGCAAAGATGGAGACTTAAACACCAGGACATACAGCTGAGCAGGAGATGAAATAAAGAGGATAGAAGCAAGGGGTTAAACAGAGAGGGTGAAGCACCATGAAAGTAAAGATGAAGAAGAGGAGTCAGCTTTAATGTTAATATTCAGTCGTCCAGCAGGATATTATCAATTTGACCCCACTACCCCGGTACCAGAAGACATGAGTTTCTATAAAACCTGAAATAAATTATCAGGAGATCAGAAGTAAATCTCTGATGGCGTTGTTAATATGAACACTAGCTAGCTTTAAAATTAAATGAGAAATCAGAATAGACAGCTGACTGGACTGAAAACATGTCATGCAAACATGCAGATCCAGATATTCTGACCACATTTGTTAAGATAGGTCGTAATTCGACCTAGAGGATTGGTTTATGCCAGTAGATAATCCAAAAGGCACACACGCTTGTCAGGATCAAGTTATTCTGAATAAGTGACCTAAGTGCTTAGGTGTGCCTCACCTTAACATGAAGTATTTCTACAATATGATCTGGCAAGAATTGTAAGGGGCATTGCAGGCTAACAAAAGAAGCTAAACGATCCCCATCCCAAAGGGACGGTCCTGTTTGTCCGTTTCAATTTGCATGTTTTCTAAACAAAAACAAGGCTTTGTTGGGCTTCTGTATTAAACCGTGAATGCATCACTATTCCTGACATTTTCAACAGAAAAAACTTCCTGGATGGGAAGCGAAACATCTTCAAACTTGGAAACAAAGTCCAGTGGATTGTTTTTCAAATCTTTTGGAAATCTTGAAAGACGTTATCGAAATATTCAAAATGATGTTTGTATGACCCATCTTTAGTCCAAAGGTAGATATAAATGGTAAAATAAGATTTTTTTTGCTTTAAATTGGAAAACATGTTAATCTGATCATGTTATTTTGTGCATTTAAATATAGATGTTGTCAGGATTTTGTTTTACAGCAACTGAACCGTTATAGAGTACATAGAAATGTGTCATAATACCACTACCTTCAGCTTTACAAAATGTATAAATCTTCAATTTTAGAAAAAAAATTAAGATTTATTTAATTACACATTTACACAATTGATTTTTAAATATGAGATGGACACATTCTGCAACTGATAGGATAAAGATTCCTTAAAGTATGTAATTTATTAGTTGTTTATAATTTAGCAATATCATATTGCAATACAATCAAATTTTCTTAGAGGAAGTATGCAAAGTGTAGATATACTCCACAAGTAGCGTTAGACCTTTACAAACTAGTGAGAAACAGCCTCTTCTTCCATGTTTACTGTCTCCCAAACATGTTTGCAACGAGCACTAGTTCCTTTGGCTTTCTTTCAACAATGGCTTTCTTCTTGGAAGTGAAACAACTAATAGCTGTTGAGCTGGCAGATTCTCACAGCACTGCCGTGGATCTCTGTTCTCCTGAGTTATCATTGGCTTTTTGTCTAACTCTTTGTGCAACGCTCTGAATCAAAGGATGGTCAGTTTAGGTGGACGGCATTTTGGATGATGAATTAGTTCTCTAACAAACTTCTATACTGAGCTTAAATATCTGGCAGTCGCCTTTAATTGGCTGATAAAGTGATTTCTAACAATAACTGGTTGGACTTTATGTTTGGATATTAGAGTAAAAGGTTCCAAATGCAAAACACACACCACAGTTTTCATTTTTCAAAAAGATGAGAAAAGCATGTATCTTTTTGGTCTATTATTAAAAATTAAAAAATACACAAAAACAATAGCAGGAATCGGAGATAATGGCAGTAACCCGGAAAATATGAAAAAAGTTCAAGATGTGGAAATGGGGGCATGTTTGCTGGTTTTTGCTAAGAACTTCCAGGAACATCTTACAGATCATGCGGTGGGGTATCGAAGGGAGAGTTTGAGATTTTCTGGTTTGAATTCTGACCTGTGCTGAAGACAGTAACTCTGTATTAGGATAATTATGCGTACAGACTGGATGGATAAATTTAACAGGCTCCATCTGTAATATGATCCTGTTTGGTGGGTTTGGTGTGATCCAGGTTGTGGGTGGTTGAGGGTAGGCTTTTGTTTTCCGTCTTGTATTGTTTGCTTTGTTTTTTGTTTGTTGGTGTGGATTTTGTTGTAATGTCTTCTCTGCTTGTAATTCAGCTTTTGATGTTACTGTATTAGGTTGTTTCTAGTATAACTATAACTATAGGTCCCTTCCACTGCGCTTCTGGCGATTCTCTTTTACAAAATGAACGTCTATATTAAAAAACTAAATAAATATATAAACTGTCACATTTAGTAAATAAATCAAATAAATAATTAATTCATAAAAGAGCTTTCAAAAAAGAGCATGAGCTGCTTTCTACCCCAAAAATCACAGGTAGCATGTGGGAGTCCTCCTTGCAGCAGCAGGTTATTACAGAATAACAAAATTGAACCAGATCCACCTTCTAACCACTGAGTAGCGATAAGACAGAAGTTACAGGGCAACATGTCTGGCCATCTTTACGGTGCAACCTACGGTTTACACCCCCCCATTGTTATAGAGGGCACCATTGAGACGCTGGCTTGGTTCAACATCTGCCTTCAGGTACAGGTAAATTTTCCACGTTTATGTGTCAGCACAAAGCTGACTTTGTGCAAGCAGGAGTTTGCTGGTGGTTCAAGCCCTGGCCTTTAATGTCGTTGTGTTCTTGGGCACATTTCACCCACATTGTCTACTGATGGTGGTCAGAGGACCCGGTGGCGCCAGTGTACAGCAGCCTCGCTCCTGTCAGGGAGCGCCAGGGCAGCCGTGGCTAAAATGTAGCTTTTCAACATTAGTATGTGAGTGTGTGAATGACTAAATGTAGTGTAAAGT